TTAAACAGGAAGAAGATTTCTGCTCTGGTAATCTTCAAGGATAATGCGTTCCATGAATAACATAGTGATCAGTTGGGTCAAATGTGGTTTGAATTCATAAGAGAAATACAAAGTCGTTGCTCATGTAGTCTATGCAATAAATCATAAATTCAAGGGATGATTAACCAATCCTCAGCCACCTTCAACTACAACTTAAACCTGATTACGTAACTGAGAAATCTGTTTACCAATTTTTATTTGGCATATATTTAAAATATGTGAACTAAGTTTATGTGAGCACAACTTCCTTGTAAACTATATATACATCTCGCAGCCAAAACTTTCACTTTATAAGGAATAGACGGGAGCACCTACCGGCCATCGTAGGCGAGACATAACATGGGTAAAATCAGTTGCATTCGTCCTGGCCTAGCTACTACCAAACTTTTGATAAACTGTCTCAGTTTATTCTAAAGAATTGGAAGATAGTCGTTTAACATGATAGACTATACAAAATATCCTACCTTTTATTAAACCAAAAGGTTAACAGACTTCCTAGTCATACAGGGCTATGTTCCCCTTTGATACCAGGCTCAACATCAGGTTCTTCGTGGGAACAAACGGTTTCTTACAAAAACTGCCGAATTATGAATTCATAAATGTAATCTACTAGGACACTTTTTACTATACGATGATATGTAACTAACAAAAACTACTATATCTTCAACAGTTATATGCCGTATTTCGTTTGTTGGTTAGTTAATAAATAACAAACGTATGCATGGCCTTTGTAGTGACTATCACTGTAAATAAGACATTTGAAAATGGGTCTCATTGGGATCTAAGCGTGACCCGGGATTGCCGATTTTTTGTAAGCGTGACACGTGAAAGTCAAATTATTGTGCCGTGAAAACGGGAAATGAAGTCTAGCGGGACACGGGAAATTACAAAAAAATGAGAATTGCTTACGTACATAGTGTAAGCGGGATACGGGAATCTGACAAAACAGTAAGCGGGATCCGGGATCAGAACCCCCCAATGAGACCCCCTTGAAACAGATGTCCTTTGAGATACAGTGATTACACTATGCAAGACATGATGATTATCATTATCATTTACCACAACGCTGATTGGGTCAGTGAAGAGAAAGTCTCCCGTGAATGAAAAATATTTGAAAATTTGGCACCATATAAGCTACGTTTTTTAATGAAAAAGAGAAGTTTGCAATGTTTCGTACAAAATACAAATATGGAATAAAAGATACCAAGCCACATTGGCATTGGTCGTTGGCTCGAATAATCTTTGTATTTATGAATTGAAGTGGTTGTCAAACAGATGGGAGGTTTTGAAAATGTCTGTTCAAAACCGGGACTGTAGCAGGTTATTGGTTCAAAGGATATCTTTAATTTATAACACGACTTGAAACTACAAAATTAATCTGCTTAGTATTCAAGAACAAAACCGTTGATATTTATTCTTCTGTGCTTTTTATAGTAACGACGGCAATAATTCGGATATTATGCTTGATTTATGGCCACGTTTACTGTTAATTACGGGTGAAAGTGGTGAATATTTAATGTGAAAAGGCATAAAGTATATGTAATGTGCAATAAATCAGTCCGTTGGTTTTCTCGTCTGAATTGTTTTACATTTGTCATTTCGGGACCTTTTATAGCTTACTATGCGGTATTGTTTTTTCTCTTTGTTGAAGGCCGTACAGTGACCTACAGTTGATAATTCTGCCATTTAGTCTCTTCTGTAGAGTTGTCTCATAGGCAATCATAACACATCCACCTTCTTATTTTTATAATGTTCAATTATGTAAATTCAAAGATGAAACTATCTTAAATAAAGTGGTCAACAGTTAGGACAGTCGTGTTGACATTAAAACTTTACATTCCACTGTGACTAGAGGTGAGGGTTGATAATTAAATAATCAAATACCCTAATCCTAAAGTACATATTTGATTAAGAAACCGCAATATTTTTCCTCATTACACCGTGTACATTTTATTTATATATTTAAACGAACGTGTTACCGGTATATGTATATTCTTTCTATTAGGGAGCTGCTATTTGATTTTTATGGGGAGGGGGGGCACTAGGATGAAAAATTGTGTCCTGCATTTTTTCAGTTGTAATCTCTGTCCTGACTTTTTATTTTTCACTCTATTCGGTCCTGCCTTTTTTTTTTTTAGTTTATCCTGACTTTTTTACATAAATTGTCAACCTGCCTTTTTTTTGCAAAGTTTCTCATCCTGCCTTTTTTTTTTCTCAAAACTCCTGTCCTGCCTATTTTTTTCAAATTTCATCCTAGCCCCCTCCCCATAAAAATCAAATGGTAGCTTCCTTAGTTTAATCAATCCATCTTAGGTTTGCTGAGAGCGGAAAGGCGCCAACGAGAATAATAAGACGGTCATGCAACAATCGTAGAACATTAAACAAAGATACTCGCTTGGTCAGATAGGATACACGTCTTTGTGACAGCAATCCAACATCTAAACTTTGCCATACATATATGTCGAGGTCGACGCATCGCAATTGTACTCATTTAGATGTTAAACTTGCGTCTGATTAATTTGTACTCTATTTGGGAAAAAAGACATTAAAATTTCATGTTTGGACTAAATAGTGTTTTGGGCGTTAATGTTAGATTATGTAATTATAATAGTATTTTGATAATAAAAATTCATGTGCATGCGAAGATTAAAGAAAAATATCATGTTTGACTTTACAATATCCTGTTAGATAATTTAATTAAATGCAGGTGATGTACTAAAGGTATAATTTATTGCTACTTTAGTATTGATATTATGAGCACAAGTAAATATTAAAAATTTCTTTCATAAACGAAGAACCATGCAATGCCTCCCTACCAATCATTGTGATATTTTAAGTAATAGTAAAAGACTATAAATAAAAAAAAAAAAAACAGGCGATACTAAAGGGTCGTTCCAACTCATTAGTCGAAATAAAACTGACAACGCCATGGCAAAAACAAAAGAAGAAAAAGACCAAACCACAAACAACAGTACACAAAACTCAACATAGAAAACCAAAGACTGATCAACACGAACCCCACCAAAAACCGGGGATGATCTCAGATGATCCGGAAGTGGTAGCAGATCCTGATCCACATGCATCTTGTATCGTTTTATGTTTTAACTAAAAGTGTTAATGACGTTATCGTTGTGATTTGTGTATTTATTTGATTTATCTAGTTGATTAAAATGCATATACATGTAAAGTGTAAAGATAAGTACCTTGTATGACTTAACAATATCCTGATAGATCACCATATTGTAATCAATGTAATGTACTAATGATATTTCCAGCTACATACATTTTTGTATTGTAGGTACTGATATTAATATAATATAGTACAAGTAAACATTTACAATTTCATTCATAAACGTTGAACAAGTTCCTTCCTACTAATCATTATACTAATATACTAACAATAAAAGTATAAGTATTACAAAACAAATACTAGGCGTCTTGTTTACAATACTAATATCAGTACTACAAATTTTGAGGTTACATTCACCTCTAGGCATCATGTTAACGCGACAACACAAAACATTTAACACTTATTAACAAATATATCACTGATTTGTGGTATGATGTATTTCCGATTTGTGTGGGACATATTACGGAAACTATCGGAAAATTTGGCAGTTTTCATTTACTGTAATTACTACCTTAATTTTAGTGTCTCCGTGGACAATATACGGAAGGTACTCAAAGCATCAAACAATGGGAAAACACGCAGCTTAATAGTGTTCCGTGCTTAACTATTGGTTTTTGAACAAAATTGACATTTCACGGCCAACTGATTTCATACTCAATATAAGACCGCCGTAAAATATTAAATATATCTCTTTTCATTACTATTTTAATTTAATGTAAGTTATTACTTTTATTTGTTATTAATTTGATATTTACTAATATAATCTTTTTCTTTAAAAGTAATTAGTTTTGCAAATAGCTCAGTTCTAGATTGCGATTACGGAAATGATATGTTTGAAAATATCAATAAGATATAATCTTTTAAAGAAAATATTGAAGTATTAACTGACAGTACATTAGCCAAAGATATTTGGAGATTTTTTTACTTATTATAATAAATATTCACACACAAAAAAAAATGAAGAAGACGAGCGAGACCTTGGTTCTGAAACAAAATCTCATGCCTTATTTTATGCGTTATAATTGATTTAGAAATAGCCTATCTAAAACCATGTATTGGAAATCTGCTTTATTTGCTGCACGCTTATAGATTGATTGGTTGATTGTTGGTGTTAATTAACGCCATTTTCAGCGTTATCGCGGCGGACAGCTTTTCTTGGGTGAGAAAGCCGGAGTGTCCGAAGACAATCACCGACTTCGCCAGGAAAATTGGCAATCCTAGGCATGTGTATAGACAAAAAAAATACAAAAATGCGTATTTAATCCTTGTGAATATAGAAAATACGCTGAATATTTGCACACACCAAGAGACTTATCACATTCATTCAAAAATAAACATATTAAGTTTTTAATATGTAACTTTTGCGTAGGGTATTTACTTTAATTCTATAAATTCAACCTTAAAAAGTCAAAATTTTGATTTCGTTTTTTAAATTTTTATAACAGTGAAATTTCTGTGTTCTTATGGTTGTTTGGTTGATTTACGATGACCCATTTAACCTTGTTCGAAATTATCGTGTTGTTGTCTTGGTAATATATTGAAACAAATGCTATGGTGACCTAGAGGACCAATCAACCATTCCTATATATTCTACATTTAGGACACAATAAGAAAAGGTACCATGCTCGAGTATCGTGTGAGCTATACTGATACTGCGAAATTTATAATCAAATTTACTTAAAATATAATCTTCCTAAACTAAGTAAAATAACTTAGGAAATGCGTATATGTAAATGAATGAAATTTACATAAACAAACGTGCGTAGGACAAACTTGAAATATAAGTTTGCCAACTCATCCTCCGTTTCTAAATACGAATAAAATCTTCTACGGTAACTTGATATAAAAGCATTTAAAAGTACGATACATGTACAGTATGTTCCGGGTTGTTACGGGTTGTTTCCGGTAGCTGGCAAATTTATATAACTTACAACAGTATAATACCCGGAGGACTCGTCTGAACTGTGTATGATTCAGTCTTAATTCTTAAACATTTCCTACCTCGTGTTATACATTTCCATAGAAATCAAAACTTATAGAATATACTGAAGGCAAATGATAGAAAAACGAAAAAAATAAATAACTACGTCTGGAATCTTTGTTATTATCGTTTTGAGGAATATAAGAATTTAGGGAAAACATAATTGGTAAGTAATATTGTACTAATTTACTTTTGGCTTGTCTTATCTCATGCCGTATCAAAACTCAAAGTTTGTTAGTTTAAACAATATCTATTTAGATAAATCATCACATAACAAAATAATGCACATTTAGGGAACAGAGGATTAGGATCCATAAACAAGTAAAGTTAATTTTACATGATTTGGAAATTATAACAAAAAGATGCAGTGTTTGCAAAAATCTCGATGTTTTTGGTATACTTTGCATTTTCTTATTGTTCTTCACATTAGCCTTCTTCAGTCACATAATTAATATACTCGTTTTATATAAATGTAACTGTCTGCTACTTGTTGTTTAAGAGGAGTTGTATAACAAATGAATGTCTCTCTTTTTTTTTTTGATACATATTTTTGCTTATAATTATTATTGAAGATTAAAACAATAAATGTTACCTCTTATAATGCATTTTTTCCCTGGTTTTCAACACTTGATTGCATCTATTGTAATTTAGTGAAAATAAAACGAGAACAAATCTCTGGTAAAACTGTGGCGATTCTATGATCTTTGCTAATCTCTAAGTCCTCTAATCCTGGGATTTGCTGGTTTTTATTGTGTGTTTGGAATACATATGGCATCGAGCAAAAAGGAAAAGGGTAAAAAAAGGGGGGTTGTACGCACCTATAGCCCTCCAATCTGGACCACGTGATGTCCATGTAATATTGTTTATAAGTCCATTTTGTCAAAAGGGTCGGTTGTCTGTAGTTTGGGCCGTTTGTTGTCTTTTCAATATTATTCCTCTTATCAAGATAACAAAAAATTGTATGCATGTGTTATGACTATAGAGACATGATTGTAATGAACCAGCACGTTGACTCAGTGAAGTTCATTAACACAAAATAGAGTTGTTTTCTTTTCAAAATTGTAGATTAGAAATACTTTGAACTCATTTTAAGGCACTTTCAACATTTATGCCAGAATTAAAAAAAGAAATGTAATAGTTTTCAATTCTGTTGAAAGATTTTAATTCAAAAATTTCAATGTAACATAAACTATTTCGGATATACAGATTTACGAAAAATATGTACATGTCAAAGGCCATACAGTGCCTCATAGCATATACATCCTCGTCCGTTGGTCGCCGATGGATAGATATCTTATTTCCAATCATACTACATTTCCTCACTTCTATATATCAATTTTTGATTGATTGATTGATTGGTGTTTACGCCGCATCAGCTCAAAAAGGCTATATATCACTGCGATATTATTGTGTCGCTAATATTAAAGACTTATAAGTTAAACTATGTATTCTTGAATATGCATATTTCAAAAACTATACGACAGTTTAACAACTCTAGATTATAAGAAAAATAAGTTTTGATTTAAAAATAGTTATTTAAAAAATGATTTCAGTGATGGCGAATGTGCATCATTTTTATTAGTTATAATCATTTGATTGTTTTCATTGTTTGAAACAACATTACTTGTTCAGAACAATGCATTACATTATGCTCCATAACCGGCGGAATCGTACCCCTGACGTAAAATTGTTGTACTCATCAGTGAGATTAAAGATATCGGATCATGTCTGTTTACATACATGTAACAATAGGAATCGTCCAAATAATGGACATGCCCTAGTTATAATTATGATTTGTTTTTTTTCTCTATATTATTATTCATTTCTATATTATCTGACTTGATATGTCCGCTGATTAACCGATAAGGGTAAAACTTGATAACTTTATAAAGCGGTAAGCTTTTCAATTCAGGACTGAGAGTAATAATATCCTATCACGGTTTCTTCTTATTAGCCCAAGGGCTAACTGGACATGTTGAATATAAATATTGTCACCCGATTCTCTCCCGTTCCGGCGGTAAAACTTTTAATTAAGTAGGGCGTCCGCATGACTGTGCGGGATGTATAAATACGCAGCCTCGTCCAGTAGGGATGGGGACGTTAAATCCGATGCATCGTATAAAGAGAGTGCCATGCTCTTTGTATGTCAAATATCCCTTGCAAAAAAATTTGGAGGAGTCAGGTTGTGGCATTTTACAAGTCTTAATTTGCCTCTGTCCAATACCCAGTGACAGTTCAAATTTCCCGGCTTTCATCCCTGTCGGCCTTCCTTGTAGCACATATCTTTTGTATGTTAAAGGTTAATTGTTTATTCTCCTCCTGAATATGCATGAAATAGGCCATTGGACGTTAAGCAAGCCACAACCAATCTATCAATAAATCAGAACAAAGTTATAGTTTACGAGGCAGGCCCGGTAATGGGAAGTCCAAAAGGTTAAAAGGGAATGTACCAAGTCTTTTTGATGACTGTTTTAAGTATAGCTCTTTCTCAGTCACAACCTGATTTAACTTATTAATAAGTACATTTGTAATTTATTACGCTTAAATCTTGAGCATTCTACATTTCCTATTTTTAACAATATTTATAGACTTACATTAACCTATAATGCATTTATAACTTAGATATCACATCTCCATTCGACAACTTGCTATTTAAATGCCAACGTTTATTTCCTGATTTGTCTTTTAATCAGTAAAAATACTCATTAACTCGTGTTAAAATGTTTGATCTTCGTCGTAATTTTCTGTCCGTTGACTTTCCAGCAGTAAACTTCACGTGTCCATGAAATGCATTGTGATATAAATAAATATTTGGCAAACTTGTTGTTACGCATTTGGGGACATGATGACTAAATGACTAAAAAAGAGTAGCTGTTCTATTTAGATAAGCATCATTGTACTAGCATATATATAAAAGAAACTATAACATACAAATAATTTCATTATTTCAGACTGTTTTAATAGTGATAGAAATGGTCAGAACTACATTGAATATCTGCTGTCTTTCTGTCATCATCCTGTTGGTATCACATTGCTCCTGTGGTAAGTTTCAATAGTTGACGTTTGACATAGATACATTATAAATCTAACAGTATTTTTGCTAACTTTATCAATTCTTCATTATTATATTTCTCGCATTTAAATTATTTTTTTCCTTTATATCCGAGCTGGCATTTTTCATTTCTAACTTCTTATTTCTCTAAGATAAATCTGACAGTAAAATGATAATGATAAAGATTAAAGTAAATAATTTATAGAGAAATGTCGAGAGGGAACGAAATAAGTTACGTAGTAGATTTAGCCGGAATATTGTTTCATTGACCAGGGGTTGTGGTGTTAAAAAGAAATGAGGGAATACAATAATTATGTGTTTGATTTATTATAAAGATTTTTATCGGCCAGCCGTGATTGGTCTAGTATAAGAAAGATGTTCTTTTACGGTTTAAACTATTTCATCGATGATATTTTCGGTGAATACATAATCACCGTCACGCTATTCTTTGAAATGAAAATAACACTTTATAAAACTGCGTTCAAACCGTTTTTTTTTTTTTTTTATTTCTAATTTCTTGAATGTATAGTTTATGGAAATATGAATTTCTCTCAATCATTTAAATCGAGTAGGTGGATTATTTAGTGCGTTATAATAAGCGATTTATACAAAGTTAGGAGATGTTTTCACTATATTTTCTGAATAAATGAATAGCCGGGTGTATTAAATAGTAATCAAATATGCATTTGAACTTGTAGAAAAGACATGTAAACATTTTATTCTTCCTTCATTGCAAACCCGGATGTAATCGGCGATTGATTTTTTAATTTGATTTTTGACAGCTGAACATGTAGTAAATTGACAGTTATTGTTGAGAACTGGTTAAAATAAATTCCCCTTTTGAAAGCATTTTTATAGAACATATACCTTCAATTATAATGTAGTATCAAAAATTTCGTGTAGAATACTTAACATGTTTAGCCCCACTACAATTTCAGCTCCAAATTTTTCCTGCCACTTTCTATCTGCACTGAAGCGCCTTCTGAGATCAGATTACATGATCAGGGGAAGGAACTAAGTATAAGCATTTCTCCAATATAAAGTCAAAGAGTTATTCCGCTTCCTATAGTATTGCCAAGTTTGCCAAAAAATCATTTTTTAATAAAAATTAGCATTATGTGCCTGTCCTATGTCAGTAGCCAGTAGTTCAGTGGTTTTCGTTGGTTTATGTCTGTAATATTTGTTTTTCGTAAACTGTTTTGTTATAAAGTAGGCCGTTAGTTTTCTCAATTGAAATGTTTCATATTTTTCATGTCAGGGCCTTTTATAACCAACTATACTGAATTGGTTTTTCTCATTGTTGAAGGCCGTACGGTTGCCTATAATTGCTTACATCCATTTCATTTGAACTTAGGTGGATAGTTGTTTCATTGGTTATCATACCACATCTCCTTATTTTTATATTAGTATAATGGAAATGTAGTATTTGTCGATATTTTAATGGTCTTCCTCAAGTTATAGATTTACCTAAACAATAGAGCTTCTCCAATGTGCTAAATTATTGCATTTTATAATTTCTCCTTAAATTTTGGTTCGTACTACAGACAGAAAAAGAGAGTCGAAGGATACGAAAGCAACATTCAAACTCACAAGTCGAAAATAAACTGACAACACCATGGCTAAAAAGAAAAAGACAAACTAACAACAGTGCACAAAAAACAACATAGAAAACCAAAGACTGAGCAACACGAACCCCACCAAAAACTGGGGTGATCTCAGATGCTCCAGAAGGGCAACCAGATCCTGCTCCACATGTGTTGCTCATGTTAGTTCAAACCCGGTGATAAGTCTAATTCGGTAGGTCACATTCGAAGAAAATGGGATGGGATTGTAGTTACTACAATTTGTACATAGGTTTCGAGTAAAACGAAATATGCACGCAAGCAAACGTGAGATTATCAAGATGGTTGAAATTGACATTGTGTCGAGGTATCAGAGCAGCCAAAATTTTTTGGAACTCTATTATAAAAGAGTTATTAATAATCTTCAATTAATCTAAGTCTAAAAATACATTTAGATTTTTTGGTTTTGTATTCTGCCCAAAAATATTCAAATAATACCAAATTTAACAGAAAGTGAACCAAAAAAGATGTACATAGTAATCATTTTTCAGACCACAGGCTCCACAAACCTGACTATCCATTTGATCTGGACACTGCAGGGAACGCAATTGAAGGCTATGTTAATTCTGAAGTAAAGGAAGGATCTAAAGTTCTTGTTAAACCTGTTGAAGGCCAACAGTTCTTAGAAGACGGAGAGGTGGTGAAATACCTTCAAGTAAAAGTTCGAACAGGAAACTTTACTGGGGTATGTGTTATGTCTATTGACATTTGCTAATCCATTTATTTAAGTCCTTTTCTTAAAATATTTTTTTAGATAATCGTTAATGGGAGAATAAAATGAGTGAACAACATATTGATAGAACACTCGGTTACAAATCTCGACCAAGTCACTATTAAAACGGTACTATTAAAGCTTACTATTAAACAAACACTGGGAAATCAATACACAGGACCAAATCAACACTGTCAATACACAGGACCGAATCAACATTGTCAATTAACAGGACCGAATCAACACTGTCAAAACACATGACCGAATCATCATGGTAAATACACAGGACCAAATCAACACTGTCAATACACAGGACCGAATCAACACTGTCAATTCACAGGACCGAATCAACTCTGTCAATACACATGACCGAATCAACACTGTCAATACACATGAACGAATCAACACTGTCAATACACAGGACCGAATCAACTCTGTCAATACACAGGGCCGAATCAACACTGTCAATACACATGACCGAATCAACACTATCAATACACAGGACCGAATCAACAGACAAACAAAAATGAAAAATTATCATTAAAAAAGAATAAATATTTGAACAAAACTTAACAGGCTGGCACTAAAAGTTATATATCGGTAAATAAAACAAGTGTCGTATTTAAAGGACTAATGAAATTGAGAATTTGGTAAGTGCTGCTGATTAAAAGACCAATAATCAGATCTTTGATGTCTTGAACGAAACAAAAGATAGCAATAGCTGTATTCTAAATTTAAATGGACTCCCTTATTTAACCTTTTTTTATTCGAGCTTCACTGATGAGTCTTTTGTAGACGAAATGCGCGTCTGGCGCAAATACAAAATTTCAATCCTGGTATCTATGATGAGTTTATTTACATTACACTTTCAGAATGAAGAATACGTAGCAGAAAATACAGACGCCTTCAGGGTAGATGAAAAGGGTTACATCATTGTGAATAACACTGAATCATTCGACCATACACAGGCAATTGAGTTTTATGTAAGTATTGTAAATATATTCCAGACAAAAATTGCGTTTATTGATACAGGAAGGGCGAGGTTATTATAAGGTTGACATCTTTATATATATACAATGAAACAAAGACGCTGGAAGACAGATGTGCGGGAAACAAAATCAAATTGAAAACCATTTTTAACATTAGTAATTTACGTTCCATGAATATAAATTATAACAAATAGCGAGGGATAAACCAACATTACATTTGTAGCTGTAAACGTCCAGAAACCATGCATATTCACTGTGACTTTGAGATGAAGAACAGCAATAAAAGCGCTGTTCCTTTGCTTTTTGTGTGTTTTTGCTGTGCATGTACTGATATTGTGTCATGGATGGATACCCCATATCCTTTGTTTTTCTATTATATTGTCTATATTTATTTATTTATTCATTCATTTATTTATTTATATAAAACAAGGAGATGTGGTATGATTGCCAATGAGACAACTATTCACCAGAGACGAAATGACGTAGATGGTATCAACTATATGCTACCGTACGGCCTTCAACAATAACCAAAACTCGTACTGCATGCTTGTGTATGCTTTTTTTTCACTTCCGTTTGTTCTTCAACAAGTGTGCTGACTATTATGTAAAAATTGCTATACAAGGCTCCGACATGACAAAATGTAAACAAATCCATCTAAAAACAAATAAGATCTACAGCAACGATCGACAACCACGGAGTTACAGGCTCCTGACTTGGGACAGGCACATACAGAATGTGGTGGGGTTAAACATCTTTGCGGGCGCCCAACCCTCCCTTAACCTGTGACATTTTATTTATTTACCTTTATAGGTTTTGTACTACATGTAAACTATGAATATATAGTCGTATTTCTTATCCATCATCAACAAAAGTAATTATGAATTTAACTTTGTATGTTTATTTAGGTTGTCATGTTCAGATTTGATGATGTAGTTTCTGATCCAGTACCGTTTATTGTTCGTGCTGAGAAACATAAACCAGACGAAAATTACGGATATAATACAACAGCAGCCGTTTTTGCTGGAGTTTTAATTTGTCTTATTGTAGTGTTTGCTCTATTAATCCCGTTTGTTGTTCGAGCAAAGCGGCGAGTTAAACAAGGCAAACCTATTTGGAAGTTCGGAAGCCACCCTTCCGCTTTAGAGAGGGAAATTGCACTTGAAAAAGGAAGTCAGTCCAATCTAACTGTGCACATGGTTGAAAGCCAGGCTTCCTCGGGTCCTCACCTGAAAAACCGAGCAATGACCGAAGGTGATTTTTATGACAATTATGGTTATCGTCTCGAAAAAGAAGTTGAAAGAGAAAAGAATGAATTGTCGCATGATTTGATGGCAATTGCGAGTCATGTTGAAGAACTAGATGACGCAGATAATGTACTTCAATTAAATAAGAAACATCACAGCGACGATTCTGATTCTGGACTATCAAGTGATGGCCGACACGACAAAGGGAAGGGAATTCTTAGGAATGGACATAATGAAAAGGTTTTCTCTATAGAAATGAAAAAGAAAATACTTGATACTGACAAAAAACCTAAACACATTGAAGAATCAGCTCATTTGTGATAAATGCAAATTAAGTATTTTGCAATTAGTCCCTATTTAATGTAATGAAACTTTGCTTTAATGATAAACGATGCATTGAAACAGATTTCGGAAAGATTTGGCATGTTTTGTTTATATAGCATATATATATATATATATAGGCATTGATTCCGTTTGCGCACTGCAGTACTGATATTGATCTCTTAAAACACATGTTAATAGCATGCGCTGTTCATTAGTAATAATATGTGCTAACTGATTATACAGCATGTACAGTATATTCAGGAATATAATTTTTACGTGATATTTTGTAATTTATCATATTGTTGTTGTTAGTAAGATTATAATGAATAAAGAATTCTATGTATTATAATTGTATGTTTGACTTAGAATACTTTGGCAGTATGACACACAATCTAAACACTCACAGGAAACATACAGAAACTTGTCGTTCGAGGCATCAATTGTGTAATTTTGTTTCTCTTTATTTCTTAGCCGATTTATTCCTTTCATTGGTTAATTTTTCTTTTAAACTTTTATATTCTTATGTTGTTTTTTGAATAGTGAAGCAAGAGAAAAAAAAGTTATTATTAAAAACATAAATTAACGTATAGCTGTACGACTGAAGGCATTACTTTTAGGAATATATGGTATACAGCGTCTTAAAAAAAGAATTTTGTTTGAATTTAAGGACACGTTATTGTTTCTATATAAGCTCAAATGCTTTTAGAGAAATATACCTAGTCAAAATTATGCAGAAAATTACAATATTTAATACTTGCTTAACTGTTCAATTTTAGATACTGATAGTTTAAAGTCGAATGATTGTTTTTTTTTTACCGACCGTGCATCACCGTCATGGGTAGTCAAAGGTCGTTAAACACCCCCTGGTAGTAGAATGATTGTTCAAATTTAAAAAAAAGGATGATTATGCTTTATATACTAGTACTTGAATGGCTCCGTTAAACTATTAAACACGTGTACATAAACCCCTCTTTTATAAACAATCACTAATATTTCAAATAGGCAAAACGAATGACAAAACCGTTGTAATATTTGATTTTCAGATACATACATGTAAAGACTGACCTCCGAATTTCATCACTGTACGGTTTGTCGTTTTCATAGTCTATAGCTTGTTTGTTTGGTACCGTTTGATCTAAATTCTTGTACAGAAATTGTTCGTTGTGCGTTTCGAGTATCAAAACCTATCAATATGGTAGAAATATGTATGTTACTACTGTAAGACAATTTTCAAAGCTTATGTAGGCGATTAATTACCAAAACTTTTGAAGGAAAATTCGCCACACATATTTATTTTGTACGTTGTATTCAATGTCATGATGTAGATCACTAATGCAATGAATTTTACACATTCAAGTAAGCCTCAGCTTGAAATATTGTGTGCATGTTGTTTGCTTTATGGTCCAGTGGCAAATATTTCACGAATATTTAGTACGATGAAGTGGTTTGGAATTATATTGTTTATGAAATGTGTCATCTCTGGGGCTTTCGAAAGAACGTTCAGTGATATTTTTATTATATTTGAGTAGTGTTTCTTTGTCTTCTGGTTCTTTTCTTACAATCTTGTACGACCTAGGACCTTTTTAAATATTTGACATTGACTAATGATATTTGGCATGTATTAACTTAAGTTAGTCTGTCGCATATCATCGTGACCTTTATGTGAACTTGACCGTCGACCTCAATATTAAAATACTGGATTCTTTTAGGCAACATTTTCGTGTACGGAATATTTATTTATCCTTTGACATAGGAATTTTTTTATATTTGCCACAGGGGGACACCATCTCAAGACGATGTTTCATATAACACGGAAGATTATATACTGATCGTAACCTTTGATCGTCAAGGTCTATTCCTTGTATGTTCATCCTAAAATCATATATATTTTTGCTTGCTATGACACGACCTTTTCAATTCATTTAAGAGTTGCCACTGAAGGTTGAATATCTAAAAAAAGTATTCGAGTCCCCAACGTACCTAAACTATATATAGTTTGGATAAGAAACCACAAGTTTTATCCCCGGGGGTCTTGCCAAACTCCCTCATATCATACATTGTTTTAAAAATATATTGAAACCAATTGAGATTTCCACCTTATTTATTTTGGTCCAAATGCAATTAATTTCAATATTAAAGATTGCCATATGATCTGTAGAAGCGTTGTAATATTTGATTTTCAGATACATACATGTGAAGACTGACCTCCGAATTTCATCACTGTACGGTTTGTCGTTTTCATAGTCCATAGTTTGTTTGTTTGGTACCGTTCTGATGTAAATTCTTGTACAGTAATTGTTCGTTGTGCGTTTTGAGTATCAAAACCTATCAATATGGTAGAAATATGTATGTTACTACTGCAAGACAATTTTCAAAGCTTATGTAAGCGATTACTTAAACTTTTGAAGGAAAATTCGCCACACATATATATTTTGTACGTTGTATTCAATGTCATTATGTAGACCACTAATGCAATGAATTTTACACATTCAAGTAAGCCTCAGCTTGAAATATTGTGTGCATGTTGTTTGCTTTATGGTCTGTAATTATGTTCGCCACACTTTTCTCATTACGCCAGCTCCTCTTTATTTTTTTTAGTCCAAATGCAATTAATTTTAATATTAAACATTGCCATATGATCTGTAGAAGTTCAAAAAGGCCATGGATTAAAAAAAAATCAAAGTACTGAAGTACTGAACATCGGATGACTGCAAGTTCTTGTGGATGGTCACAAGCACTTGTCTCATAAAAAAAATCACATCTCTATACCTGAAAGTGAGGTTAATGTACAGATATATTTTTTCTTTCTTAGGCAAGTTCTTGCGTGGATGATAAATATATGGAAGGGAGTTCAACCTCACCGTAATAAATATGATATTGAAGTGATACAAATCAGTATACTCTGGTTTGTTGTTATATATTATATTAATATTTGTATATTACAGTTACATGTATATATAATTTTCATCCATTTGTATTTTATTCTATTCTACTATATTAATAATATTGCAGTGCAAGTGCATGGTGGACACTCTTCTGTAATAATTCGATTTTTCTAATAGATTGGATTTGAGTAGGCATTCATATTTTCCCGCCAAACTTTCAATCTCCCATGCAGAGTTATCGGTCCTTGAGAGAGAGCGAGGACCGATAACTCTGCATGGGAAATTGCAAACGTTCCTGAGATACATGTATTCTTCCGCATGCGTTAACACACATTTTCTGTATGTCTTCTTCTTCTTCTTCCTGGTACGGGAAAGACTCCGGTGCCGGAGTGTGGAATATCCCGGAACTGTAGCGCTATGTACATGCAAATGGATGTCGAAAATTTTGTTATAATAAAATAAAAATATTTGCCACAGTTCAATTACAATTTAAAATAACATTAGCTGTAGCTTAATGTTAAACATATTCACATTATGTACAGTGGCTTAAATACACTAATCAATTAGCCAGACTAGAACCTCCAAATGTTAAGGTGGAGATACCACCTTTGAAGGATTCTAGGGAGGGTGACATGCAAATTGTTTCTGGGAGATCGTTCCTGACAGCAATAGTACTTGGGAAAAAAGATGATTTAAAAAAGTCTTTATTTGTATATATATGTCGAAATTTATGTAGGCCTCTAGTTCGCCTGTCAGATTGTGTCAGGACGTCATTAGTGACTTCGACCAACCCCCAATTAATCTTATAAATCAAGACAAGCTTAGCTTTTGTTCTACGGGATTGCAAGTTTTCCCATTTTAGTTTGTTTAACATACCAGTGACAGCGCCTGGTGATCTATCGTTATAGTAATTAAAAACATATCTTGCTGCCTTACGCTGTATCTGCTCAATTTGGTTTATTTGGCTTTGTTTGTACGATTCCCAAACTGGTGATGAGTACTCGACGGTCGGACGTACAAGTGATGTGTACGTAAGGTTTTAAACCTTTCATGTACAGTTTTTCATGTTTCTACGAAAAAAACCTAGTGTTTTATTTGCCTTTGAAGTTATATTATTAATATTGGGCCCCCAATCAAGATCATTGCTTATTGTAACTCCTTGATACTTGCTGTCTTTGACAGATTCAAGTACATGGTTATGTAAATTATATTGAAATAAATTAGTTTTCGACTTTTTAGAAATATTTATGACATAGCATTTTTCATTTGCCATTTAGATTCCCAATTTTCAAGGCTTGATAGATTTTTTTGGAGTGCTTGAGACTCATTTATATTATTTGATGTTTCATAAAGTAAACAGTCGTCAGCGAAAAGACGAACCTTACAGGAGACATGCTCAGGTAGGTCGTTTATGAATAACAAAAATAAAGTTGGGCCTAGTACTGTGCCTTGAGGAACACCAGAGTCAACAGCTAATTTGGAAGATTGAACACATTTAAGCAGGACTTGCTGTTGCTTGTTTGACAAAAAATCTTTTATCCAAAGTAAGTTATTTTCACGTATACCATGATAATTAAGTTTTGTTATTAATCTTTCATGGGGGACCTTATCAAAAGCTTTAGAAAAATCTAAAAGTATTGCATCAACTTGATTACCTTCTGCCAAGTATTTGGCTATGTCCTGGATACTGATAACAAGTTTTGCTTCACAGGAACGTTTACTCCTAAAGCCATGTTGGCAATCATTTGAAATATTATTTAAATCTAAATGTTTTCTAATATTACTCGTTAAGACGTGTTCTAAAACCTTACAACATATAGCCGTTAAAGAAACCGGTATATAGTTAATTGCATTATGCTTATCTCCCTTTTTAAAAAATAGCACAACATTTGCCCGTTTCCACTCTTCTGGGATTTTTCCATCATTTATGGATTTTTGAAAAAAGAATACAAGGAAGGGGGATATCTCTTCCGAGAGTTTATTAAGGAAAAAAGCAGGGATATTATCAGGCCCACTAGCTTTATGGGGGTTTATATTTTTAAGGAGTTTAATTATGCCATTGATATTAATGGTCATATCTGGCATGGTGGGGTAGGGACTTTTAGGTTTATGTGGCATTGAAGTTTTGTCTTCTTTAGTAAATGCACTTTTAAATTGTTCATTTAAAATATTTGATTGTGTTTGTGGATCACTATAAAGTAATCCATCTTTACCTCTCAGAGGTGAGACTCCTGATGTTTCAGTCTTTTTCCCTTTTATGTATTGCCAAAATGATTTTGGTTTTTCCTCAAGTTGTGGACTTATGATTTCTTCCATATATTTACTTTGGGCTTTCCTAATTTCTCTTTGAGCTGTTGCTTTAAGCTTTTTGTATTTATCTTTGTGGTTTTGTTTCCCATTTTTTTTAGCTTTATTAAATGCTTGTCTTTGTTTTTTACATAAACTATCAATTTCTTTAT